CGTGTTGCCGCTGGCACATGACGGTCCGGGGTATCGGCAGCGTGTTGGGCAGCCATGCAGCATGTTGTTAATGATGTTTACTAAAATGCAGTTCGAGTTTTGTCCACAGTGTTGCCAAATCGTTTTATTTTCGTCTGCTGAATGAAGTGAATAAGGCGCTCAAATATGTCGACGCCTTTATGACATAGCCAGACGACAACAAGAGCAGCAACTACATCAACAACAACAAAATTCCAATTGGAAACGGGCTACGTTTAGTGTTGGAAAGGGTTGGGCCTGGAATTTCAGCCGACTGATCGTTCAGGTGCTGACAATTTTACAGCACATTTGCGACAGAGATAAACAGAGTGAAAAATGTCAAACACGTTTCTAACCGCGGCTAAAGTCAACAAGTTAATAGGAATTTTAATTGCAAGTGCTCAACCGTTAACTACCCTGTACATTAGGCCTCGATCGACATTTGCTAAAGAATATGTTATCTAGGGGCTGGTTTTTGAATTTCGAGCTTATTATTATATTATTATGACGTGTTATATGTTCATTTTTTCAAATTCTTCAGAGTATATAAACTGTATTTAAAGACTTATTTAATCGAGACATTTTTCTAGACACGCTGGCAACTGTTCCCAAATATCGGGAGCTTGGTCATAGTTTTAACAAATAATACTGGGTTCCCGAGAATCTAACCAGCTTGTTTAATCAAGTGTTGGAGATGCACAGGTATATCAAGTCATTAAATAGTTGGTTGCAAAGAGGACATCAGAATTGTGACAGAAAATCTTAAGCGATTCCCAATGAACCCCAAAAAGTAGGATTTGGTCACGCTTAATATTGTAAAATAACACAAAGCTAAGTTTTAAGAACATTCAAGTTACACACTTTCCTAACTAGACTCAATAATTATTGCCTTGGTTAGATTAGTTAACGAAGTTAACATTTAAATATAATTTTGCTTGGTTTTTATGTAACTACGAACAATTCATAACCATTCGCATAAATTGTTAAGCACTGTTGTTGATGTAAAAAATGAATCAAACAGTTTTGTCTAAGATCGAGCAATAGAAAATGATATGGAAAGATTTAACCAATTACTATAAGCCCGTCTTCAAGGTTAACTTTAGAATCTACTTTCAATTTACTTTACATATTCTTTCTTTTTCTGTGAAGACTCCACTGGAGTATTAGTATTCTAGTATTAGGATTATTCCTGTAGGACTTTCTTTTGCTAGCGTAAAAGGGAAAACTAAAGATTGACGCCCTAAAACAATGAGTTGAACGACTTCCATTTGAACCTGACCTAATCTCTGTGAATACCCTTACCCGTGAGTACTAATGGGTTCTTGGAAACCAGTCTTACTTGAGATATTTAATTATTGCAATGGTTCTATGAACGTTACGTGATTAATGAACAGTAACGAGCAATTATGATTTTGTGCATGTTACAGGCCGCAATTCACATAAATCACCAAGTCGCTAATGGATTAGGTTTGAGCTAGGGCTCAAGGCTTGTGATCTTACCTGACGCTTGAAGCGTTTGCTGGCGCTGCGGCGTAAAGTGTTGCAGTTGCCATTGTTAATGGAATGATCGACCTCCTCGACGGTGGCCGTGCTGGGCGCCATGCAGCGCTTGCTTAGCTCCACCAGCTCCGCCACGGGTTGAACCTGGGTGTGGAAAAACAAAGGATTTTAACAAATGTGGCTGGCAAGGATTTGAAAATGTGTGTGTTACGAACCTCAACGGTGACAGCATCGCCACTGTTGCGTATCATCTCGATGATGATCTCGCGCGATAAGTCGCCCACGGGCGTGCCGTTGACCTTGATTAATCGATCGCCGGGCAAGAGGCCCGTGGCGCCACCTCCTGCACCCGGCTCCGCAAAGATGACGGGCCGGAAAATGGGCGACATCAGTGACTCGGTGCGATCCAAGCAAATGGCCTTGCGCAGACTGAAGCCAAAGTCCTGGCGCGGTGATTTCTGTCGCCTGATTACCAGCTGCCTGGGAGGCGGCAACTGCACCAGCTGCACTGGTGGCAACGGCAGTTGCACATCCTCAAAGGCATGCACGCGGGCCCAGCGGTCGATGCCCTGCGATTCGCCCACAGGACTGAGCGAGAATGGGGGCGTGGCGAACGAGGAGTTTGTGGTATCTGTGAGACTGTCTGCACTCGGGGACGGCGATGTCAGCACATGCAAATGGGCAGCCTGTGTGGGCGTCTGTGGTGCACAATAGCGTGCGTTCGCCGGCAGCGTCATGGCCCGCTGCTGTGGGGCATGGTCGCCATCGCTGCGCAGGCTCTCCACGGAGGTGAACGAGGTGCCGTGCTGGCTAGAATTGGAGCCACCGCTGCCGCCGCCACGGTTGCCTTCAAACAGCTGTTCATTTTGCAAGGTGTTGCGCATCAGCATTTCGGGCGTGCCGCCGCCGCCGCTGCTGCCGGTGAAGACAATCTCCTCATGCACGTTGGTCATGTTGCTGCGCGACCCCTTCAAAATGCCGCGTTTGGGCGGCTTTGGCGGCACCGGCGGCAAAAATCGATTCTGTCAGTATATCAATAATTTATTTAAATATGCTCTGAAAGCTCGAATTCCAATTGATACTCACCTTTAACCCGCCGGATAGCAGCGAATGTGTGACCTCGGCGTAGTTCAGATTAATGCCCATGCCAGACCCATTGGTGGAGCTGCGGCTTTCGATGTGTGTCATCACAGATGCTACAATTTCCTCATTGCCACGATCCTGCTCTGGCTCGCCGTTTCCGTTGCCGTTGCCATTGCCATTGCCATTGCCATTACCACTGGGCGCATCGGCGTTAAGGGCCGCAAAGAAATCTGCACTGTAGTCGGCTGTAATGCCGCTGGGCAGCTTTTCCTTCTCCTTGCGGCGACCGCGTATCTTAAGCGATCGACGCACTTCCTCCAGTCGGAGCAGCTCGTCGGTGCTCATGCTGCCAGTTACGCCACCCCCGCTGACGCCTTTAGCCTCTTTGCGCAGTTTCTTTTCACGCTTGCGACGTTCCTTCTCCTCATCGCCGGCGCTCTTTTTCATGAAGTTAAACATCTTTATCTGTAAGTGTATGTGTGTGTGTATGTGTGTGAGTCCTTAGAAAGCTAACTGTAATCATAAGAAAAATACTATAGTACCTTTTATAATTGGGCAAAAAGGAAAGACAGAATAAAATAGATGCTTAAAGGTTTAAGGGTTCTGAGAGACAGGGAAACCAAGGAAGGCGGACAATTGTTTTTATTACAAATGTGTAATTAAGAGATGTCAATAAATAATATTATACACATAAATACCATTATGGCATTAAAAAATTAAACGACAATTGGATTCTCACTCTACCCCGAAGACTACGATTCCCTAAAGAAATTTAGAAAGATTCTCTCTCGCTCAAGTACGTAAGACTTAAAGTAAATAAGAAATATTTGCACAACTTTTATTAAATATATAGTGGAAATAAAATGGACAGATGGTACACTGAATAAAAATTAAACGGTTTTGGTATATTTCCAGCACGTTTAGTATCCCTGGTTTAATAGATATTTTTGATAAATGCAGGAGAACTGCAAGGCAATGCCATCTTAGGCCAGCACAAAATCAATATACAAAAATATTATGATAATAATAAAAGTTGTATTAATAGGCGAGACTGACTTTTAGTTTTAATATCCAAATTTAACGATTCGGTTTTTTTTTTTTTTTGTGCCCCTGAGCGAAGTGCGCTTCGGTTTTTGGTCCGGTTTTCCCTTCCCACTTTTGAAGAGGGTTGGGGTATATCGCAAGTTCAAGGGCGTGCCCAACAAAATTTTGCACATTTTGTTGTCTGCTGCTAATTTGATTTGCCCTGTCCTGATGTGCGTGCCCCGTTGCATTGCGGTTAGTTTTACATTTTTCTTTTCCTTGTCTTTCGCTGCAAAAGAAACCTTGGGACCAATGCACCCACACAACCACAATCACAACAGTTAACTGTTTCTTGCTGTCTGCACGTGTGTGCGTGCGTGTGCATGTAATTGCAAAATCGCGTAAACAATGCGTCAGGCATGCATATTTTCGTTTATCTTGCATTTCGCTTTGGAACCAACGGTGGCTTTTGTCATTGAGACTCGCCCCCATTTGTTATTATTTATTCAATTATGCGCTTTCTTTTTCCATATTCCATATTGTATACAATTTTTGTTTTGTTTTCACACACACACACACGCACACACACGCTCAAATTTAATACTTAAGGGGCCCGTTGTTATTGCAGTTGTATTTGCGTTTGTATTTGTATTTGCATTTGTGTTTGTATTGATTGCCCCAGACTCGATTGCATTTCACATTTTGCTCTGCTTTATGTTGCTTTATTTTATGCCCAATTGGCTTAGGCTGCGCTTTATTATTTATACAATTTAGTTTGTGCTTATTCGCCAAAAACCAATAGACATAGAGGGTGGAATTGGATAGTGCTACGAGCCAGAAGCAAAAAAGAAAGTTGCCTGCCACTAGCGAAGTCAATAACACCTTTGTTTTTGCAGTTTTCTATGTCTCTTTTGATAAGCCAGGCACACACACAGACACAGAGGGCAATGTTTTGTCATGAATAAACTTCTCGCGGCCAGTGACTGCATTTTTATGAATGCCACTAGCATTTTAGGCTTTACCTTTTTGCTATTTATTTAATGCGCACAATTGCGCGCTTGGCATAAACAAATGCCTTCAATTTAAATTCTAATAATTACAAAATTTCACCGTACCGACGACCACCGATCGGCCAGTGTGTACACAACTGCTGGGTAGAGGTGGGAATCAATCGGTAAATTAATATATCGATAGCGAAAACAGCAACATCGATGACAATGTTAGTGTGTACACCACGGCAAATTATAAATGTGCCAATTTATTTTATTTAAAAATTGTACGGTAGTGTTGCGAAACGCACAATGTATTCTTCTATAGGTTCCCTTACCCAAAGACCAGATTCCATTATCCTAATGATATATAGATTACACGCCACATAAAACAATTAAATTGCTTTATTACGAATCACCGCCGATTTAGATTCCATACATTTTCATACACAGCGATGGGTTTTCAAAAACAAATTAGAAATTAGTTACTAATTGACCGGTGTTTGTACACGAAGTATTATGTTAATTTGGGCTCGCTGTCAAAACTGGTGGACAGCTTCTCCGACGAATCTCTAGCCTCGGTTGTATAATAAGATTTACGCACAGGGACGGTTTCCGGAGTAGGTATAGTCTCTCCGGTGGTATCGAATAGTGCTTTGGAACTGTTGAATTTCTGCTTGGCCATTTGATAGTCGCCAGAATCAAAGAATTTGGGTTTCTTTTGCAAACGCTTCTCGAGGAATGATGAATGGCCACCCGGCACGTGTATATTATTTGGATATTTGCAGTTCAGTTTATCCTCCTCGATTTTCTCCAAACGACGATAATTATTTGTCTCTTTAGATGTGCAATTCAATGGCGTCTTAGCCGCGCTTTCGTTATTAATAGTGAAATCCATGATTATCTGCGAAGAAAAGAAATATTGTAACACCAATATGTCTTATAAAACTGATTTGACGCAACATACTTAGTTGCTTGTTAAATAAAATCGGTTAATTCAATGTCATATAAAAAATTTTGTGTTTCAACATTGTTGAAGGCTTATTGTGGCAATATAAAATTGTGAATAAAATTGATTGTCATCCCATCATCATGAATGCTTAACTGTTGCAATGAGTCATATCGGCCGACCACCATCGTTTTCGACCGACCACCACATATACAGAGTTCGTCTATCGCAAGCCTTAAAAAAAGTGAAGCGTAAAAACCAAACGGTACATCTACATGGAAAAATTGTGTGAGTGCGTGTGTTTATGAGAAAAATATTTTTTCAACATATGAATATATTATGCGCACCAGGAGAAAAGTAAACTTTCGATCAGTTCAACAATTGTGTGGCGAATCCGTATTTAACTGTGTGTGGCCTGGTGTCTGCAACACACATACTCAAGCACTCACAACACACTCACTCTTAACACAACAGAAACAAAAACAACATACGTGAGTTGTCGCTGCCGTCACCGTCACCATTCAGCAGAGTGTGCCTTTTACATTTGCGAAGTAAAAATCAAAAGCAAAAGTCGGTTCTTTTGCACGAATAGGTGGGTTCCAAATTTTCAATAGCCTGCAAAATGCAAGTGTTTTATGCCAAATTCCAATAAACAGCCGTGGCCTTTGTTATTGTTGCTCGCTCGCTCGCTTACAGATTCGTCGTCGTCGTCGTCGTTGTCGTTGTTGCGGTCGCCGTCAACGTCGACGTCGTTGTCTGCCCCCGATGGTAATCTATCTCTGTGTGGCTGTATGTTTGCGTGCATGTATATTCACGTACGTATATAGGTATATGTGTGCGTGCGTGCGTGTTTGTATGTATGTGCATTTGATAACTGTATTAGTGTCTAGACATGTTGCTGACAAGGCTGCAAATTCAAAACTTTTGCTTGCGGTTCGGTTCGCCGGTTCGAATCAATGTTTCGGCTCTTGCGCAGCCTTGTTCTCTTGTTCTTAAAAGCTTGTTGGTCTTACAACAATATTAAAAGGCAATCAAAACTGGCGGAAAAAACTCTCTGACATTAAGTCGTTAACATGCATGCAAGTATGCAAAATCAATGCATATACATGTGTGTGTATATATGTGTGTGTATGTGATTGAACTTGTGTTGGTTCGGTTTGAGGTCTGAATCCCTTTCGAGCTGGTATGCAGCCTTTTGCTGTTGCTGTTGATCACTTGATGCGCCGACCTACACAAACATACACACATACATGCATATATATATATGTGTATGTATACATATACATATATATTAAAACACTCGTACAGAGAGCCCAACATTTAGTGTGTACATATTGTCTGTCGAGACATAAATGCGTCTTGCTCGCCAACCTCCCTTGGTCCGCCTACACGCTTTCCTATATCCACAGTCTCGCACTTTGCAATGCAGACAGACATCAGTATGCGTCGCATTATATATGTATGTATGTATGTATGTATGCATACGTGTGCGACTGTGTTTGTATTTTGTCGATTTTATTTTATGTACATTTGTTTACAGTTTTAGATAGCGAAATTTGTACAGCCGGCAGCGGTCGCCACGGCACGGCGTTGACATTTTCGCAAATTGCAAATGAATATGTTTTTTTTTTTCAGTTGCGATCATTGCCGCACTCTCTGACACACACATGCACACGTGCCCCTCGCACCTTTATCGCTCGCTGCGATCTCAACTAGCGGGCCACACAAGAGTCAGCAAGCGAGACATGCAAGCATGTAGATTCATACATACACTTGCCCATATGCATGCATGCATACACATATTCACATACATATAGACATGCATGTACATATGTATGTGTGTATGCGTGTAAGTTCATGAACAGCCGCGTTCCGTCGACTTGTTTTGATTTAATTTCGCGGTAAATGCAATCGCGAAAAATTTGCTCATATCGCCGCGGCCCGCTTTGCGCTTTGCGGGGAATTTTGTTTGAAGCTAAAACAGCAAAAGAAACAACAATAACAACACAACTGCAGCAACAACAATTGCGACAGCCGCGATGCCAATATGCTGGCGCCTCTACATGTGGGGCGCGCTATGACTAAGTGAAAGAGAGAGACCCCAGGGAGGCCGCCGTCGCCGTTTCAGCCCTTCTGCGAACTGCGAACGGAAATGCCGTAAATGCCCAGTTTTATTTTTTCGAACGATCGATCCTATTTTCAACAGTTCTGCAGCTGCTTCTGCTTCTGCAGCTGCTGACGCAAGCGCCTACAACAATAACAATAACAATAACAACAAAAACGACAACAACAACAACAAAGGGCTTTGCAATTTGCCATAAACACGCCAAAAGACAATAACAAAATATCCATATGCATATGTATGTATGTGCATATTAGAGATGGGTGTCTGTTGGAGGTTCTGCGTGACACGAAACATAATATAATTTCCCATTAAACAGATACAATAATCTCTAGAAATTATGCTATGCATAATTGTTTGTTATAAATATTATTTGTTTTTGTAGAATAATTTGACTGCAATTTTCAATTTTTGCAAATTAGATTAACGCTAGAACCGACACCTGCGACTAATTTAGTTTCTTGGCGGTAACTAGCTTTCTGGGAATTTCGTTTTTTAAGCAAAATAATAATAGGCGTTATATCGAGTCACGCGCCCATCTCTAGAATCCACATAGATACATATATGTACCTGTACAAATTTGCATTATGCACTCGCTAAAATGCTAAGAAACCGTTTTTTTTTTAAATGTTTTTTTTTTTGTTTCAATTATTTTTATTTCTGTTTTTCAACAAGTGCCCTCATTGTAGACTCGGACTGGGGTGTGCGGACTTTGTTTTCTTGGTGCACACGGAACTGGGAACAGCCTCAACACGAATTACCTACCATTTGCGCTGCAGAGGAGATCGACTGTGGTTGCCAGCGCCGCAACAAGATCTGCCTCAATTACGCCTACGCCAACGTTAATGCCCACTGGCAGTCGTTTGGGCTTAAATTTTAATAACAGCAGCAGCAGCAGCAACAGCAGCAACAACAACAACAATAATTATTACAACGCGACGCAACTGAGCGACGCACTGTTAAACAACGACGTGACCGGAGTGCCGCATCCAATAGCAACGGCAACAGAAGCCATCATGTCCTTGACAGCGACTGGCACATCGCCCACCAGCCCCATTGAGCCCTTTGTGGCGGCTCGCCCACAGACCGTCAAGGAGGGTTGGCTCATGAAGCGCGGCGAGCACATCAAGACCTGGCGCCAACGTTACTTTGTGCTACGCTCTGATGGTGCTCTCATGGGCTATCGCAGCAGGCCGGCGGATAACACACAGTCGGATCAGCTGCTCAATAACTTTACCGTACGCGGCTGCCAGATAATGGCCGTGGATCGGCCAAAGCCCTTCACATTCATTATACGCGGACTGCAGTGGACGACGGTGATTGAGCGCACATTTGCCGTCGATACAGAAGTTGAGCGCCAGGCCTGGACCGAGGCCATACGAAACGTGGCCAGCAGACTGTCTGAAATGGGGGAAACGGCCATGTCGCCTTCATCCCAAACAGATATGGGCGATGTGGACATGGCCGGCATCGCTGAGGTGGAACTATCCGAACAGTTCTCCGTTCAGGGCACCACGCGCAACAGCAGCGGCGTCAAGAAAGTGGTACGTAATCTGCATTTATAGATCCCATTGTTCGCATACTTGTATTAACTGCTGATCTCTTCTTTTTTAATAGACCCTTGAGAACTTTGAGTTCCTCAAGGTGCTCGGCAAGGGCACATTCGGAAAAGTGATCCTGTGCCGCGAGAAAGCGACTGCTAAATTGTACGCTATCAAAATTCTCAAAAAGGAGGTCATCATTCAAAAGGATGAGGTCGCACACACATTAACCGAAAGTCGTGTGCTCAAGTCAACAAATCATCCGTTTCTAATTGTAAGTGAATTTCGTATTATCACACTTAAAATCGCTTGAGAACCCAAGAGCGAAATCGGAAGTCTCACACACGGGAATTCCCCGTTCACTTTTGTTTACTTCATATTGTTTGGACACTTAAAAGTCACATATGACTTAACTGTTTCTTATGAAAGCACAGATTAGGCGCAAGCTGTTGAAAAGGTTAGCTAGCGAAAAATATTCAAACCTGAATTTGTATAAATTAAATGTATGTACACATACAAATATGTTCATACCGGTATGGAGTATATTTACGTAAATCCTAATGGGAAAAAGATTAAAAATCTCAGACCATATCAAAGTCAAGTTTTAAATGAATACACAAAATAAATATGTGCTATAAAAAGTATGAGGAGGCTTAAAACAAATAGAAAAAAAAAATAATTCCAAAAAATATCTAATATATTCCATTGAACTACTAAAATCATTAAGCTCAAAATAGAGCATTAAGCGATCGATCTGTGCATTATTCATTTTCAAAGGATTTTCACGTTTTCGTAATTGTAGTATCGTGAATATTATTTTAATTAATCGATTGAAAATATCTATTGAAAATCCAATGTACTCTTATCCTTCTTTCGCAGTCACTGAAATATTCATTTCAAACCAACGATCGTCTCTGTTTTGTCATGCAATATGTGAATGGCGGGGAGCTGTTCTGGCATTTGAGTCATGAGCGCATATTCACCGAGGAGCGCACACGTTTTTATGGAGCAGAAATAATATCGGCGCTGGGCTACTTGCATTCGCAGGGCATCATTTATCGTGACTTAAAGCTGGAGAATCTTTTGCTGGACAAGGATGGTCACATAAAGGTAGCCGACTTCGGGCTGTGCAAGGAGGACATCACCTACGGTCGTACAACGAAAACGTTTTGTGGCACACCGGAATATTTAGCGCCTGAAGTATTAGATGATAATGATTATGGACGCGCGGTGGATTGGTGGGGCACCGGTGTTGTTATGTATGAGATGGTGAGAAAGAGAACACATTAAAAATTATACTAAATACTAATTTATGTGTATATATATATATATTATATCTATACTATACAGATCTGTGGCCGCCTACCTTTCTATAATCGTGATCACGATGTGCTCTTTACACTGATATTGGTAGAGGATGTGAAATTTCCACGCAATATAACTGATGAAGCAAAAAGTCTGTTATCTGGTCTTTTGGCCAAGGATCCCAGAAATCGCTTGGGCGGCGGTCAGGATGATGTTAAGGAAATACAAGCACATCCATTTTTTGCGAGTATTAATTGGACAGATCTGGTGCAGAAGAAGGTACCGCAAATTATAAAATACTTTTATAAAAAGCTTAACGAATATATAATACTTTTCACAGATAACGCCGCCTTTCAAGCCTCAGGTCACATCAGATACAGACACACGATATTTTGACGAAGAGTTTACTGGCGAAAGCGTTGAATTAACGCCGCCAGATCCCACGGGTCCATTAGGCTCCATAGCCGAAGAACCGCTTTTCCCGCAGGTAATTTTACGCTTTGTGTAAATCCGGATTCGATACGGAATTAAAATCCTTTTTGAATTTACAGTTCAGCTATCAAGGAGACATGGCCTCAACGTTGGGCACCTCGTCGCACATAAGTACTTCCACAAGTCTCACATCAATGCAATAGAACAAGTTTACAAGCACACACACCCAAACCCACATGCATGAATAAAATAAACACATCTAGTTCTGCTTCATCACCTATGCCCATAATATATAAATATATATAAATGGGAAAATCGCGAGCGAAACAGATATAAATTACTACCGCTAAGTTTATACACCAATAATAATAATAATAATAATAATAACAATTTGAATGATAGTAACTTATTTTTCTTAACTTCAACAACAACAGCTGCAAAAACAAGAGCAACGCGCAATTGCAAAACATATAGCGAAGATAAGAGAACGTTTAACGCGGTATATATAAAGAAAACAAAAATATATAGTTTACTACATATGATAATATATATATAATTATATATACATTTAAATAATACATTTTAAGCGTAACGTTTAAAGTGATTAGTTAATTTTTAAATGCAAGTAAAACATTTAAACAACTACACACACACACACACACGCACACATACAGCACACTTATACACTTGAATACCTATCCAAAATACACCCTCCTAGCATATAGGCAGCAAGAAATCGAAATACACAAGCAGACACACACACACACACATACACAAACGAACAGACACACATACAAAAAAAAAAAACACTGAACATACAATATACGCATTATTTATACTCCAAAGAAGCAAAAAACAAAAACAATTACGAGTTATATATAATGATAAAGTTGCCTCTGATTCACGAACAGAACACAACAACAACTAATGGTAATGCATGAAAACCGTTAAACCATATGTCAACTGCATGAGCGCCAATAAAATTTATAAAAAATAATTAAAAAAACGATTTTCAAAAAAAAAAAACCCAAGAAATTTATATATGGCATATGCTTTTTATACACGAATATTTGTACATATTTATATACTTTTTACCAAAATGCAAAAAAAAAAGAAAAAAAAATGACAAAAATTTCCATTTTTGAATTTGAAAAAAAAAAAAAAAAAATTAAACCTATAACACCTAAAAATGTTTGTCATTTAAGTTTTGGCTTTGCAGAGTTAATAAAACAAAAACAGCATTAAGCTTGAAATGTTCTGAATACCTATCAGATCGGGCAACTACACACACAAAAAAAATATTTAAATTGAAGATTTACAAAAAGTAAAAAAATAATTGATATTTTTATAAAAAGATGTAAATAAAAACTATAATAAAATAAATAATGTTCGGGCATTTCAACTAAATACAATACCAACAATAAAAGTATAATCTCTCTTTTATATACATGAATGAAGAAAACAGAAGCAAAAACCTATCAATTGAAATAAAACAAAGAAAAGTCAAACATATTTTCTTAAAGCAAATCAAAATACGAAAGCGGCTTGCAACTAAACTAAATATAAAATGCCAAAGAATCGGCGAAGTGAATAAAACTCATAAAAAAAAAACAGGCACCAGTCTTAACAGCTGGACAGGTGAGTTAGAGTTTAGCATATAAAATGTATAATGATAAAAAGTCCAGTAGACGATTAACAGATGAGGCAAACCGGAAGCTTGCCTAGAGTTGCGTGTAGGAATACCATAGGTCCAGACCAGGACTTAATATACACTAGGAAGACTTAATATACACTATGATATACACTTCAATTCATGGAACGATGTTATGCAGAGGGCTACAATCTCTCACTGCTTAACGCGGCGATGTGTGTTGATTGAGGAACACAGTTTACAAAATTGTTCAAACTCAAAATTGAAGATAGAGCGCTTCGTTTAATACTGGATACAACAGAAATATAGCTAGGCAAATATCAGGATAGAGATCCATGTATGTACTTTTTCATTATTGATCGAAAATGCTGCTCATAGGGAAACTCACATAAGCAAAGCTTATTAAAACGACTTCACAACGATTTCTACTATGCAATTTTTGTAGATACAATACTTAGTTTGAGTTAAGAAGCATTTCATATTATATTTAATTATATTTCCGTTGACTCATGCAAATAACTGAAAATTCAAATAGCTGACCAAACAATCAACCGAAATCTGCCAATGCCATTCAAAAGGCAAGCTTTTATAATAACTAATAAAAACAATGGGAAAATGAAATGAAAAACAACCACTTAATTATATACACATAAACATGTAGTGAGACAAAGATTGAGATATCGAAATCATGTAGCTGCATCCTAGACAATTACCTATTGGGGCATAATTATATCAACCATTGCCCATTCCAATGCAAGTTCACCCTATGTTCGGCTTTAGATCCCTCATTGGGGGCACTTAAATATTCTGATAAGGCTCACGGTGCCCACTATCAAAGCATTTCCCCTTGCCAGCCCCACAAAGATAATAAAATAAATCGTTTGTTGTTTTTGCTGAGTTGTTTGTACAATAATTTTGATTTTAGACTTTTATACTTGTATACTGCTAACTACGATGTGTTCTAAAAAAAAAAGAAAATATGGTTTAAAACTTGACTAAATCTCGTGTCAGACCGAAGATAAAGTCGAGCAACCTAATTGTTTTTTTTATTGTAAAAACCAAATAAGAAACGAAATAATGAAAAACGAAAAACACTTAAAATTGATTAGCTGTAATTTTTGATAAGCGAAACATTGCAAATTTCGTACAGTTTTAATAAATACCTTAAGCTGATTTATAAAGTAAAAATCAATACAATATTAAAATGAAAAAATATCTATTTGTAAAACAAGATCAACAACTGAACAGGAACCTGTAGATAATATACGATCTACATAATTATGATATGAATAATTAATACGCGCTTACGCATACATATGCATATGCATACATAATAATAATAATATACACACACACATACACACACATAGATTTATGCATATACCATATACATGTGTATGTACATAAGTAACCGTGTGAAAAACAATTATAATTAAAATACATAAATAAAATTTACATACACAATAGATATTTGATATAAAAAAAAAAAAACAAATGATTCGAGACATGTTTCTTTGTTTTTCAGGAAGTGCGAAAAAATCCCCTTTTCAAAAAAAGAAGCTAGCCTCCCGACCATGTGCCCATTATGTATTATATATGACTATATCGAAGAATTTATTTACGAGCTTGGGAATCATTTTAAAATATCTGTATAGTTTTGCACTAAAAGATTTCACGCCCAATATTATATGGTAATAGTCCCTATAATATGCATACAAGTAAAATTTGGATTATAAAGCAATTCTATGAAATATTCTATATAAGAGAGTGACTTGCTCGTAAACTTAACTTTGCCCAACCCTGATGATAACAAATTAAAGACACACCCATCTGGGTAACAGGAGACTTGTAACGCAATAGACCTCAACTCCCGTGCTTCGGCATCTTCGCCAGGCTGTTGCAAATTGGGTCAAGACAGCGTTAGCTGCGTGGCATGCGCTGCCCAAGCCCAAAAAAAAAATTAAGCGAAATGTCGGACTTGACCGACTTAAATATTCGGGAGCAGCCTGAAGGTGGGCTGGCAGCGCAGCGAGTGCGTGACAGGCGCGCTTTGAAGGTGTCCATGGAGCGCGTTGTGTGTGCCGCGTGTGTCTTGAGTGTGTGTTATGTGTGCGCACCCGCGAACAATGCGTTTTGTCTGATGATTAATTGCAACACAATCTTGGAGGCCAGAGAGCCGCCGTCGCCGCCGCTTTCCCCAAACGAGCAAACAGCTAAATGTGTAAAGACGCACAGAAACCCACATATGTGTGTGTGTGCATAGGAATATACACACAAACACACACAGAGATATATATATATATATATATATATATGTATACCAATTGCAAATGTGTATATAGACATAGACAGAATGTGTGTCGCGACAGCAGGCGGATATATTATCTGTGACATGAAGCTATTAATTTTTAGCACTTGCCACAAACAAAAAAACAAAATTAAATTTTGAGCGCGAGCTTGATGAAAGCGAAAGTAAATCAAGGTATATAAAATATAACTGAATTGTACGTAGATTGGACTTGGGCTGGGGCCCAGTTCCGGGCGCTGTGCATCCTTAAGCTGCCAAGCCCAGACCAAGCCAGGCCAGGCCCTTGAAAGACGTGCTAGGAAAAGTGCGATTAGTGCTTTCCCTTTTAATGCTGCGACAGCTTATGACGGATGACAAAAAATGAAATGGCCAACACAAGGCACTGCCGGAGCCGAAAAGCCGAAGAGAAGATACTCTTGGAGTAAAGTCAAAACCATAAATGTAAAATATTCTATCAAAGTCCAATTTGTATTAAATAATTTAACATTCTAGTTCACATTATAAACAATATACTTGATGTTTGATAAACCAATTTATTTATTTATTGTTGAAAATGTTCATGATTTGAAGAGAATTTAAATTTATATAATGAATTACAAAAACTCAACTATTATTGAGTTTTGATTTTGATTTTTGCTCTAGAACGATTCCTTTTTAGCATTATTTATAATGTTTATAATAGTTTTAGTAATGTCTTATAGTTTTTTGATAAATCAAAATGAAAGAATCAGTATCAGGTTCTGGATTCCATCCAGGTCTAGACTATGAATTCTTAACCTGAAATAATGAAAGTTGTGATAAAAATTTAGTTTGAAAAAAAAAAAAATTATGTAGCTGACCAATTGATCCGAGAGTAAAAATAAAGTTTAAACGATAAAATAAAACTTATTATTATTATAACTAAACATATAGCATATCTTGGCAGATGGTTATGACAAAGTTGTTGGACCCTTTGTTAAGTGTATTAGCAGCAAGATTGAAGGTTCGGGGTGTGGGGAAACGCTAACCGCGTCTCGTTTTCTTTGTTTGCAATGCGTTTTTCGCGCTTTTCATTTGCGAAACGATTTTTCTATTTTCACCTCGGCTTAAGCTGTTTGCTTTATAGCAATGTGAAAATGTCTTCAAACTAGAAAATGGTCAGCACAACAGCAGCAGCAGCCGCACCAGCCGCAGCATCAACATTGGCGGCAATGGAACTGCGACTGGGCAGCAGAGACTTGTGAGTACTCGTATGTGCTGGCACTTAACAGCTCCAGTGCCCGCTCCTTCCTCCCGAGCCGTTGGCTGACTAAAAAGTGAAATACATCAAAGCACGTCACATCCATCAGACATTATGAGCAGCACGAGAGCACGCCCCAGACCCAGACCCACACCCAGAGCCAGTCTTAAACTGAAGCTTAGAGGCTGGCCAAGACTAGATACCCAGCAAACGGGCTGAGCACGCCGGTATGTTTGACAACCAGGCCCAAAAGCGTCGCTAATGAATTGGAATTGTTTAAAGAGCGCGGCGAGGGGCTACTTCAGCAACAGCAACAACAGCAGCAGCAGCTCCAACATCAGCATCAGACTCAGCTTTGGTCCCAGTGTCGTCTCTTGCAGTCGCTGCAATCGAAATTAATGAAAACTTTCGTTTATTTAATTGCATAGCAGCCAGACAGAGAGAGGGAGAGTCCATGTCTAAGCGCAGAAGAAGGCTACAGCTCGAGCAGCTGATGTATAAGACACGTCTCATCAGTCTCAGGCTGAGTCTCAGTGTTTATGGGTTATGGTTATGACCATAATGAAATCTATAGGGCAAGACATCGACAGCGGCATTTGAGTGAAAATGATTGATTGATTGATCGCTGAGATCGCTGCGTTCCCTGCTGCTGCTGCTGCTGCTGTTGATATTGTTGTTGTGGTTGTTGTTGTTGCTGCTGCTTTGTGGATCGTCATCGTCTAAACGCTCTTGCATTGTTGCCTGTGATTGCTGTGTTACTCCTTTTCGGTGTACAGAGATTTGTTGACTTGGATCAGACA